CAATTGCCAGGCGAAAGGTTTTGCTGAATGATCATGTTTCCGAACAAGACAACGATATATTTATAAAATTAAATCATCCATGCAATCCATATACGAATCCCATGTCAGAAGATCAATAATTATCCAAAGAAACCAAATTCAGAATACGCGTTATATATCGCAATTATTTGAAAAGGATTACATATATCGACTGCAAGCAGTCTTTACACGAATGAAAGAAAAAACATGAAACCATATGAAGATATTGATCCAGGTTCCAAGAAAATTAAAATTGGTTGGATAACACAAAATCAAATAAATCTCGATAGCTTACTTAAGAATCACATTTAATGTTTTTCAATAATATGAAGGTGGGGGTGAGGTTTTGTACTCAGTTTTTGGAGATGGTGAATACGTTGGTGGAGGTGGGGATGAGTAAACATATGGTGGTGGTGAAGATTTGTATTCAACCTTTGGAGAAGGAGAATAGTAAGGTGGTGGTGGNGAACTGTAGACATATGGTGGTGGTGGAGAATTGTAGTCTACCTTAGGAGATGGTGAATAGTATGTTGGTGGTGGTGGAGAACTATAGACGTATGGTGGTGGAGGAGATTTGTAGTAAACTTTAGGNGAAGGTGAGTAGTATGGTGGTGGTGGAGAGTTGTAGACNTANGGTGGAGGAGGAGACTTGTAGTAAACCTTAGGGGAAGGTGAGTAGTATGGTGGGGGAGGAGAGCTGTAGACGTACGGTGGAGGAGGAGACTTGTAGTCTACCTTAGGGGAAGGAGAGTAGTATGGTGGTGGTGGAGAACTGTAGACGTACGGTGGTGGAGGAGACTTGTAGTACACCTTAGGGGAAGGAGAGTAGTATGGTGGTGGTGGAGAACTATAGACGTACGGTGGTGGAGGAGACTTGTAGTACACCTTAGGGGAAGGAGAGTAGTATGATGGTGGTGGTGGAGAACTGTAAACATACGGTGGTGGAGGAGACTTGTAGTATACTTTTGGAGAAGGTGAGTAGTATGGTGGTGGTGGAGAACTGTAGATGTATGGTGGTGGAGAAGATTTGTATGCAACCTTAGGTGATGGGGAGTAACATGGAGGAGGAGGAGGACATACGCATACATATGGGTGTGGTGGAGATTTGTAGTATACTTTAGGGGAAGGTGAATGGTATGGTGGTGGTGGAGAGCTGTAGACATATGGTGGTGGGGGAGATTTGTAGTACACCTTAGGAGAAGGTGAGTAGTAGGGTGGTGGTGG